ATCCGAATCAGACCCCCTATCAAAATTTCCCTTCATAAGCCCATAGGTCCGTTCCAACAAGGGTATGGCAAGACCAACAAGAGGAGGTGCATGGACCAAGTGCCTATGATTAATCAGAGGAAAAGTGGTGGCAAAGAAAAGCGGATAATCAACTTTCAGTAATAAAAAGAAGACGTTTTGTGTGGGTGTAGTATGCTAGAAGAAACAACCACAATAGAAAATGAGGGGGGCAAGGTGAAAAGCAGGCATGCAGACATTAAACTTCGCTAAAAAGTGCAATGTAAACAAGTCAAAAATGTTGATAGGGTGGGGGTGGATAGATGGGCCAGGACAGAAAGAGAAGTGATTGCATAATCTCTAATCAAGGGGTTGAATTAACTTGTCTCACTAACGGGTTGTATCTTGGTGCTGAGAATTGAGTGACGCATCGATGATACCGTCAAAACCAAGTCCACGTTCAGACTATAGCAGAAGACTTCAGACAAGATAGGTGCGACTGAGTCGCCCTGATAACACGACTAAGTTGTGAAAATGAGGTCTGACCACCTCTATAAAAGCTTTGTTAGGCAATAGTGGTATGGGCAAATTTAGCAGTGATTTATATATATTTTAATTTGTGGTAAATTGTATTAATATACACGATATTTGATTTTGAGATCGCATTTTTTGCCAATTTTAGCGAAAAATTACTTCACTTCACCTAGTTTCAAGAGCAAGAGATGTAAAAAATAGCTAACACGCTAAACTCGAAAAGTAAATAATTGTGGCTGTTAGTCCAGAGATAGAACAAAGGAGCTATAATAACCTCAGCTTTTGGAGGCTTCATTACCCTCGAATCTGGTCAGGACTCAAACTTAGCATGATTCCCTAGCATCGCATGCACGCAAAACGCGCATACTTGAACGCTATTGCATGGGGCAGAATTTTAAGAAAAATCATACAAATGAGTTAGGTAAAGATACAACTATCTATCACAACCGCATCCATCTTTCTTATCTGGAAGTATACAAGGAAATCACATTAAGAGATGTCTCATTAAAGGAGAAGAGTTAAGCATCCAAAACTGAGTTTTCCGATTCTAAAGTCGCTATTAAAAAGCATTTCTCCTTCGGTTTCCGTTTAGGATGGGCTAGTAAATTTTGATATCGTGTCTTGTACACAAACATTTCTGTTCAAGGAGCTATTTAAGCTCTGATACAAACTCTGGAACAGAAAAACGATGCAAGACCACCGACAGCCTACGGTTTACCGAAGATACACAGGAAGGCAATCCTCTGAGAC